CCCAGGGGGGATGGTCATGCCGCAATCCTTTCTCCTCCATTCTCCTCTCAGGATCTTGGGCATGCATGCACACGCACCCAGCGTGAGTTAAAGCCACTGGGTCCGGGACTCAAACCGCGATGGGCTACATGGGGCTTCAGCAATGTAGCCATTACACTAACTGCTGGTCCCCAGTGTCTTTATTTCATAGTCTGGCTTGTTTCACTTAGCATTATTAACAACTGTGGTCACCATTCAGTGAAATAGATCACTAATATCTACTTTTAAAAAATATTTCTTTGCCACAGGGTACCTATGTTTTCCTCAGAGAGGCAGAGGCAGAGAGAGAGAGAGACAAAGCAAGAAACCACACCCCAGGAGGGATGGCCACATAACACTCCCTTCTCTTCCATTATTCTGTCAGGACCCTTGGTATGCACACACATGTGCCTGGTATGTCTTTGAAGAAGCCAGGCCCAAGACTCAAACCACAAGTTTGCCATGCAGGATTCAGCACCTCAACCATCACACCATCTGCTGGCCCCAAAACTTTGTACCTTTTGATCAATATATTTTCTTTCCTCATCTCTCCAATATTCCCCAGCCTCTGATAACCACCTTGCCACTCTCTGTTTAGATGAAATCACCTTTTTTAGATTCCACCTATAAGTGAGATCACATGGCATTTATTTTTCTGTGTCTAGCTTACTTCATTTAGTGTGGTGTAATGCAATTGCACTGACATCAGAAAGATCTTGGGTTCATGTCCCTAGATTTCCCTGAGTACACTGGCCGTGCACATATTCCCATTAACCAAGCCAGTGAAGATTGGGGATGGATCACACTTGAGGACTCTGTTGGAATGTCTCTCTCTCTCTTTCTCTCTCTCTCTGATAAAATAAATAAGCTTTAGAAACAAGGGAGGCTCTAACATTTTCACAAACTGAATATTCTCCAAGTAGCCAGAACTCATACTGACTTTCCTGAGGGACACTGGTATACACAAAAAGAATATTTTTCCTACTGATTCTGTCCTCAAGACTAGGTTACAAATCAGGTGAACCCAGTTTTTATTATTCCTTTTTGAATTCTTCTACTATCCTCCCAGCCACTTATCCTTCCTTTGAGTTAGTTTTATCCAAAGCCTAAAATTACAGGACTTGCCTTGGCTAGGTTTCTGTGATTGCAAAACCTCAAATTGATTCTGAAGGGCTGGCAGGTGGTGTGGTGGATCCCATATGTCCAACTCTGTAGTTTGATTCCTGGACATGGTGGCCTGAAAAACACACCCAAAATTCTGCAAGTAGAATGGAGGAAAAGGAATTGTGGCATGGTCATTTTCACTGGGCCGTGATTTTTCACATTCTTTCCTCCTCTGTCTCTCTCTGTTGAGCTTACATACCCTCTAGCTTAATTAATTAATTTATTAATAGAATCAAGATTATTTAGCCCATGAATGGACACCCAAGGTTCAGGAATTATCTTCCAGTGAGGCTACAACATCGTGGTGAGCAGGGTTTTTAACCAGAGGCTGTCCATAGGTTTCTTCTTATTCTGGTCTGCTTTAATATGGCATTGACCTCCTTCATTCCTCCTTGTAAATACAATGGAACTCAATCACACGGTCTCCAATTTAATGATCTTTTCCTCACCCAAATGCACCACTTAGAGACACCATGAGGGGATTAAGTTTTCACTTAACACTTTAATAATACAACCAAGTCTCAACACATGAACTTTTGGGGAAGACCCACTCACTGATCACTAAGATCAAATTCCAAAATGTAAACTAAACTGTTATGGAACAAACCATACCTGGATTACATCAACCAGTTAAGGTGATGATATAGAAAATAAAACTATGTGTTAAGGATGACATGTGTGATGACTTGTTGACTGAACTAATATGTAGTGTATTCATGCTGAGAACATTACTTTTGTATGTTGCAAAACATGCAGTAATAAAGTAATTATGAAAGTATAAGTAAAAATCTGTAGTCTCTGACCATACTATAAAATAATCTAAATGTTCTTGGTTGCCAAGTGTACTTTTTTTCTATAAGAATAATACATGGAATCAACCCAAATGTCCACATACAGATGAATGGAATGAAAAAGTGTAGCACATATACTCTATGAAATACTATTCAGCCATAAAAATAAAGACTCTGGCATTTGATAGAAAGTGGACAAATTTGGAAGATTTATTGCTGAATGAAGCACGTCAGGCTATGAGAGAGAGGCATTGTATGTTTCCATTTAACATATACCGACTGTCTACACTCTATGGTAGAGACCAAAAGACTGGAGGGCATAAAAGAATTGAAAATTGTTATGGATACTAGGGGCAAAGTGGAAGGAGAGTGGGAGAGGGTAAGAGTGTAGGGGAGGAAAAAAATTTGGGGGGGGGAGTGGAAAGGTAAGACATTTGTGGGACACAGAAAAGGGTAATTATCTGTTTACAATGACATGTATACTATTCTCAACTGGAATGGTCTGAGGTGTATTTCATGCTGGGTAAATTCTCTTTACAATCTAAATAACATATAATTATTAAATGTATTAATAAGAAGAAGAAGAAAAATTTTTAAAAAGTATAACAGTTGGGGTAGGCAGGTGTTGTGGTGGTTAAGGTAATGGATTTCCACATGGCTGACCATAGTTCAAGTCCTGGACCTGGAGACTTGCTTTCTCACTCTCTCTCAGGTCAAATTATAAGTAAATAAATAAATAAATAAATCTTAAAAACAAATTTAAAAATAAGAATATTTTAATTGTCAAATATTCCTTCAGTAAAATTTAAGAAAAAGAAAAACAGTTTAATGATACAAGCTGCTTGAGAAGAAATATTTCTTTCTTTTTTGTGGTTCTCCTTTCTTGTTTTTACTGATTCTTTAGGTTACCTTGTACTATCAGT